GAAAACTACAAATGTAATGAGAATGCCAAGGTGGGAGAGAGGGATTCTGGGTTCAAGGGCCACCTCTACCTTCCCAGGTGACCTTGCCCAAGTCATGTCTTTGTCTGGAAGGGAAGGCCAGTCTCCTCAGAGCCCTTAAGTGCTAGACTGGGTTTTCTGGTCAAGAATTAGGAACCAAACAAAAAAGTCTAATCCCTGAACTAATATCACTAGTGCTTGTGCTGAATGGGAAGTTTCTGATGCTGGGAAACAGATCTGGGTTGAGAGCGAGCCACAGCCTGCCAGGAGTTAACATCACTTCCTGATTGGTGAAGATGCAAGGGTTATCCCAGTTTGACCTTGGGGTAGCAAAGGGGGAGGAATCCGAAATATCTGTGTCCAAGGATGGGATGCTGCCACTGCAGGGAGCCATCTTGCTTCCTCCAGGTAGCCTCTGGCCATGATGACAACCCTGTATCCACTGTACATTTCTGATCTTCGACCAACCAGGGCACTGGTCAAGGCAGCCAGTGTTACTCCTAAACTGAAGAAACAGGGCTCAGAGAGACTAAGTGCTTATTCAAGGGCAAACAGCAGCTGGAAAGCAGGCATGTCTAATTCTCTCTATTCTGCATCTGGCGTATAACTGTAAGTGCAGTCCCTAGAGGAGGGCAAGGTTGGAAAGAGCAGATCATCATGGGGTTCAGGGAGATAGGTGAGTGGGTTCAAGTTACACAAGGGTAAAGCAAATTCTGGTCCCTAGGTTTTCCCCATTCAGAATCAACTCCTGGGCTGGAACAAGAATGCAGAGCTCACAGGCCACTTTGCTTGATTGGTGTTACTTCCAGGTCAAACGTTTTCACACGGGCAATGGCCGTTTTTGTGGCATGGGGAGAAGTGAGCTCCACTTTTGTGGGTATCAGCACTGAGAAGCAACAAGCCAATTCTGTTCAACCACAATGTGGGCTGGCTCTGTGGGAAAGGCTGTTCTGCAGTGACAACCGGTGTCCTGGGCCTCAAGATAGGGAAGTCAGGGCTGTCTGTGGCATCGGCTGATTTTGGTTTCTCACTGAAGTTTTTATCTGGCATCTCTTTGGGGATGACAGGTCCTTGGGCAGGCAGCTGTCACTCGCCACTGCTGTCACCCTCAAGTGATGGAAAGTCCAGCAGAGAAAGCCTCCGGACTCCTCACCATTCCTTCTAGAGGAAAATCACCCATGGGGGAAACAGGGTCAGGGAGAGGGGCTTAACCCCTCAACATGCCAGAGGAAAAGAGCTGGAGAGGGTTGGTTTAAAACAAGTTCTGGTTCTTAGATGGACCAGCGATGCTTGCCCTGGGGGCAAGTACTCACATCTCTCTGGGATGGTCCAGCCTTGAGTTTTGGAGTTAGACCCACATGAATTCAAATTCCATCTTTGCCACCTGCAGACTGTGACCTTGGGTGAGTCTCATCCCTCCCTGGACCTAAAATTCCTCATCTGTGGAACGGACTCATAAGAGCACTTAACGCTGAACACTGGAGAGTGTGATAATGCACATAAAGCGGTTAGCACACAGTAAATGCTTAATAAGGTCAGATGTCATAGGCCTCTTCCTATGGCCTACTCCCCAGGCCTGTTTTACTTTTTTAAGGTTGAGACTCCAAAAGAACAGCTTCGAGGGCTGCTGCGTGGACAGAACGAGATGACCGGCGCCAGAACCCCAGCCCAAGACACATACTACCTGAGGAGCAAGCTGAGGGCTGGAGCCTCAGTCTCCCTATCTGCAAAATGGGCACTTGGTTCCCTCCCCTCCCCCAAAGCCCGGGAACCCCCGAAAGGCGGTGGAGGCGGCTGTTCTTCTCCCCTCCGGTCCCCTCGACCCTCTCAGATCCCTGGATCCGTCCGGCCCAGCCGCTCCCTCAGCCCCAGCCCTTCAGGGGCGCGCCCGGCCCGGGCCTCCGGCGTCCCCGGCCGCTCCCCGGCCCCGCTACCTATGGTGGAGATGAAAGTTGAGTTGAAGGCGTCCTCGGAGAAGCGGAACAGGACACAGGTCTTCCCCACCCCCGAGTCCCCGATCAGCAGCAGCTTGAACAGGTAATCGTAGGTCTTCGCCATATTACACTCTCTCCCCGACGGGAAGTGCGGCCAGCGCCTCGCCACTGGCCGCTAGCCCCGTCCATCAGCGCCGAGCCCGCCCTCTATTGGCTCCCGGCCCGCTGCGCGTCACCGCGGCCCTCGCCCGCTCCCGCGCCCCGCCCGTCGCGGGGAAACCTGGGGAAGGGGCCAGCAAGGAACTGTGCCGGAAGCGGCCCGAGCGCGCCGCTCATTGGTCGGCGCTCGGGACAGGGCGGACTCCAATTGGCCCGCAGTGAAGAGTCGGGGGCTTCAAAAGAAGACCAGCAGGAGGCGTGGCATCCCGGGTCCCCGCCTTCTTCCCCCGACACAGAGGCGGCCCCGCCCCCCGGTTGGAGGGGGAGAGCGGGGAGCGTCGCCAACGGCTCCGCGTGCCCGCAACTCGGGGGCGGGGCCTGGGGCGCGTGAGTACGCGGGCGAGAGAGACCGTTAGGCGCCAGCAGAGGGCGCACGCGGGGCGGGCTCTCCGGCTCCCGCCCTCATGGCCTGCGCAGCCTCCGTAGGCGCCGGGAAGAACGCGGGAACCGGCTGCGAAGGTGGCCCTGGCGTGTGGAGGCCGCTCCGTCAGGCCAGGGGCAGCGGAAGAGGAAAGGGGAGTGGGGATCTAATTAGAGATTGTCCAGACCGCTGTCTGCCTGCAGCTTTCCCCCGGACCCTCGGCTGCCCCAACCCAGTCAGCCGCCGAGGGAGCTAGGGTCGCGAAGATCCTAGGTGATGGTTCCGAGCATTGTTCTTTGTCTGCTGGCGTTGTCCGCTCTTACAAAAATACGGAAAGTACTTAATCCCCACCCTAACCCACTGGGGTCGGTATTGCGTTTCCTGCCTTTTTATGGTGAGCAACCCGAGGCCAGAGCTTCAGTGATTTTCCCAGACTCCAGGATGGAAAGTTGGGTCCGAGGTCGGACGCGCAGGCTTCAGAGGCCGGAGATCACCGGCGTTTCCTGCGGGGCCGGGGTGGGCCACGCCGCCGGCAGGGCGTCGGAAAAGTGTCTAGACTGGTGGCCCTGGCCGCCGCTCCTCCGTCCCTCCGCAGACCACTGCGCGCATCTGGCTCCGGTGGGGAGAGCTTAAGGCAGAGCCACGCCCGCGTCGTCTTCGGTGCCACTGGCCCCCTTTCTGGGACACTCCGCATTCTACTGTTTCTTCTGTCGCCTACGCCTCCCCTCCTCCGGGGCCTGCTTCTCAGATTGCATTGCAGACTTTCGGGGTCTCCGCATGTCCTTTAGGAGTTCCCCGTGGTCCCAGGTCTGCTCGCACTCTGGGGGAGATAATTCACTCCTGTGGCTGCTAGTGTATCCGCGCACAGGTGATTCCTTAAGGAAACCCATAGCCCGGCCACCCTTGTGTCCAGCCGCTTTCTGCATCTGGCAGATGTACTTCGACCTGTCCGCAACTGAACGCGGCAACTTCTACTCAAACTAGCCTGGCCCGAGTTACCTTATGAGTGAAACCGAAGCCATCGTTGACATTGCTCTTTCATCCCCGCATATCTTGGTGGTTGAACCTTGTCATCTCCACTGGTCTTCCTGACTATTCTGTTCTCTAATCTAGATTTTACCCTGCAGTGTGCTCATTCTAAAACACGCAGTACCCATCCAGGGTCTGTCAGGATCAGGCCTTCACAATCTGGCCCTAAACTCACCCTGTGTTGCACATCATGGGACTGGGACCTCCCGGAGATCTGAGATCAGTTTACCAAACATCCAACACTTGTTAGGTGCTGAGGCATGGGATTGACTGTAACAGTATCCTGAGATTGGATTACACCCCAAGGTGGTGGGCCAGAGGGACAGAACGAGCTTCAGTCTAGGGAGGGCCCTTAAGAAGGAATTGTAGTCATTGATAGTCCCTGCATCTACCATCTAAACAAGCTCACAGCATCAGCTAAATGTTGAATTAATATGAAGAAAATATTTTGTTTTTTTTTTTAAAGATTTATTTATTTATTTATTTGTCAGGGACAGAGGGAGAGAGAGCGAGCGAGCACAGGCAGAGAGGCAGGCAGAGGCAGAGGGAGAAGCAGGCTCCCTGCCGAGCAAGGAGCCTGATGTGGGACTCGATCCCAGGACCCTGGGATCATGACCTGAGCCAAAGGCAGCCGCTCAACCAACTGAGCCACCCAGGCGTCCCAGAAAATGTCTTTAATTGTACTTGGTGACAAAAATTGTTTGCATACGACATTAATGTTTTAAGGCTTTCATTTCTCTTTTTGATTCCCTACCCCACTTCCCCAAGATCAGATCTTGAGGCAGGTATCAGAGCAATTCAGGTAGTGAAACTACAGTCATCTTTGACGCTTTCTTCTTTAAGATACCTGCCAGCTGGTCAGCTGTTTTAAGATTACTTCCTCCAGATCACTTCTTTTCATTCCATGGCAAGAACTACCTGGGATTAATGGAAACATCCTCTTAACTGAACTTACTGCCTCTAGTCTACTCCCACTCTAGTCCCTCCTGAAAATGACTAAGTGGATCTTCCTAATGTGTTTCTTTGATTAGTCTTCAGTGGCTCTCCACTCCTGACCAAATTAAGTTCAGGCTCTCATTGCCATGGACCCAGCTTACCTTTCAACATTCCTACTTCCTTCCTTTATATATCCAGGGCTTGGGCTTTCCTGACTCAAGCAGCAGAGACCATTTTCCCCCTCATCTATTCAAATCCTAGTTACTCTTAACAGCCTGGTCAGGCAGGACTGGGTATAACAAAGGACAGGAGTTTTTCAATTACTGAGGCAAGGTGCTCTCACCTGAATACAGAGATCATAATCCTCATATGAAGTCATGGTATAAAGCAAGTAACATTTGTTAATGATCTTGGCACAGTTATCTTTGCCTCCCATCCAATCAGCATTCATTGAACCAGAGTACCTTCAGTGTCCCCCCAAACAGATTCTGAAGTTCACACTATTATAGTTTATGTAAAAATTTATTTGACCAAAATGTAGAAAAAGTGATACTATTACATATGATACAGTTGCAAGAATCTAAATGGAAAGTGTGGGTTTTATTCAATTGCACAATTTGCTAGTGTACCTTCTGGGTAGTGTGATGCTTAATAAATAGGAGTGAGGGGTAGAGGACTTGAATAAGCTAGAAGCAGGGTGATTTTATCAGAATTGTAAACTTGAGTTGGCCCCCACACTGCTGGGGAATGTGGAATGTTTCAGCTCTGAGACGTTAACCAAGAAAGCAGAAATATAACAAAGCCAAAATGTGCAGCCCTGCCTACAAAATACTCCATATCCAGTTTAATCAGGAGTTTCTTGGTCTTTTATTAACTTGGTCCTGAAGAAGGAATTAAAGTCCTACATAAGTAAATCTTCCGTTTGCCATTCCCTGAAGTATAAAGGACATGAAGCTAGGCTGATTACTTTATCTCTACTTTGCTGTCAGAGAGGCCCCTTCTGCCCAGTATTTGTTAACAACTGCTCAGTTATTGATGGCTAGTGGTCTTCTTGATAGGACTTCTCTGAATAAGACTGACTTCTACCATATTCATTCCTGCTGAGGAGATGGTCTCAGATCACAGCAGACAAGCACAGATCATTATTGGAATAAGCTATCTGCTCCTCAGAGAACAACTTTAGAATGAAAGGAACATGAAGAAGAGCCTAACATCAAGGATCTATCCAGAAAATATTGGGGTAATATGATTATGTACCGAGCATTCTCATGCTGACTGCTCAGAAGATGTTTGTTCTGCATGGTAGAGTGTGGGAGAGAGCCAAGATGATTAGGTTAATCTGTCTATGGTTTAAGAGTTCCACAAAGCCAACCCCCTCCCCCTGGCCTTTTTTTTTTTTTTTTTGCTCTGGATGGAAAATCCCTACCCATATTTTAATGTGATGGTCCCTGGTTACCTGTCATGTGACCAACAGTGGCCCAGAAAGTTATACATTCTTCAGCCTTTTAAGCTGACCCATGACTAGATACTGGAGTTGTTTTTGAAAAGTATAGGGTTGTCCATTTTCCCAGGAACCAAATGCCCTCAGTCTTAAGAGAGTATGCTCAATATAAAATACCCTGCCTACCTTATGAATAAATGCAACTTAAGGATAAAAATAGAGCTGAAAAAGCTGGTGCCTTTTGAAAAAAGGAAGGAATTAGATTTAACTGGTGCTCAAAGCTTCTCTGATACAAAATATTTGGTCATATATTCATAATTTGCTTGACATTTCCAGCAAAGCGAAGATTTCAATGGCAAAAGAAACTTCTTACAAGAGAAGAGAAAGACATGGAGCTCTGGAGTTTCTGTTGGAACAAGACTCTTCTGTTTTGGTTATATACAGTTAAGTTCGTTTAGTGTCTGATCCAGTGTCTGATGTAAGCCCACATTCTCTTCTTTGGCCTGGGCAAGTTTTTCTGGTGAGGATTAAGAGTGGGGGAAAAAGAAATTAATAAGCATCTTTGTTAAGGAGGAAAAGGTTTCTAAACTCCACAAACTGTCAGAGTGAAGTCATAACAGAGAAAGTACTTTACATTTTAATTATCACAGAATACCATGGAATAACAGAGATCAAGTATCAAATATGGGAGTCAGGGTTGCAAGATAAACTACAGAGTCTTCAATTAAATTTGAATTTCAAGTAAGCAACAAATACTTTTTTAGGACAAGTATATCCCAAATGTTGCATGACATACACTTATGCCAAAAAATTACTCATTGCCTATCTGAAATTCAAATTTAACTGGGTGTCCTATGTTTTCATTTGTTAAATCTGGCAGTCTAGAGTTGGAACACCTGGACTTAAACCCCAGTAGTACCACTGAAATATGCCATTTAACCTTGCTAAGTCTCAGTTTCCCTATCTGTCAAGGATAAAAACAGAAATACAGGGCATGCAGATTACCATAAGGAACAAATGAGAGGTGCTTCAGAACTCAGGAAGTGCTACGCACACAAAAACATAGTCGTAGATACGGGAAACAATACATTCCCCACCTAGGGCCAGTTAATTAGCCTATGGTAGGAAATTATAATCCTGAAATCCATTTTTTCTTCGGAGGCTTTGGGAACGGCCATTGAAATTCCAGGCATAATCATGTTATTGTGTCTGTGTGTCCATAGCCATGGAGTCAAACCCCAGATAAACGCAGCATGACTGAAAATCTAAGTCAGACTACAGGTGAGTTATTAAGTGACCAGGCTGATAAAATAAATTTTCAAAAACCGAAAAAGTGAGATGCCATTTAGGGCTAGGCACAACAGCGATCAAGACAGAACTGGTTTGCCGTGAGTGATGGCCGCCGATAAGAGACGAGGTCAAAAATCATTAAAACACTGGAGGAAAGCAAAATGCCTCATAAATTGTGATAGGATCAGCTTGGAAATTTTCAGAAAGGAAAAAAAAACTGACTGCAAAGATGGCAGTCTTTCAACTAGAACTGCTCAACCTTTCATCTCACAAGGCACTGAAAAATATCTGGTCTCGCTATGATCGGGCGGATTCTGTGACAGAAAAGAACAGCGAGCGGCGTGGGCCTGACTAATGTGGATGGACAGTACCCACTCCGTGGTCTCCCCTATGCCTCACGGACGGAGCCACCACTTCTGTTTTGCAGAAAAGCTAAGCTGCTTGTACAAGGTCCCACAGGGCTGAGATTCAAACCCAGGTCTCCCCACTACAAATCCTGACCACATGTCACCTTGCCACTTGGATTCTCTGGTGTCTACTTTGTATTAGATCTAAGAGAAAAACAAAACAAAACAAAAAAACGCCTTTCCCTTAAGGTATCAATTGTCCTCGAGAAGTGTGACAGGCCCCTAGACCGTCAATAGGTGGTCGGAGGTCATGTTAGCCCAAATCTCTGTAAATGAAGTTCCACTTAGGGGCTTAGTTAAGTGGAATGACTGGATAAGTAGGGCTGCAGTTATTTCAAAGTGTGGAGGCCACCTACATCTGGAAAAATCCCAGGAACAAATATAGTGAGCAAACATAAAACACCCGCCCCTTCATAGCTCAGCGTTTCCACAGTCCTGAGTATGGCCGTATGTGGGGGGAGTGGTTTATGCAAGAGTTCACGGTGGACGGGAGTTAAGAAACCAGGGAAAGGCTGAGGTTGGAAGGCTGTGAATAGTTGGAGGGAGATGGATTTGGGAGGCATGAATATAGAGAACTGGGACAGAGGTTCCCACCTGAATAAAATTACAGGATGAGAAAAAATAAAGCTACAGTAACCAAAAATTGTTGCTCTAATTGGAGATCTCCATGCTGCTCTCAGGTTCACAGGGGCAGTCTAGAAGACATGCGTGGACATCAAAATGGCAGTGCTTCTGGGATAATTTATGGTGGTGGTGGTGGTGGTAGTGGGGGGCAGGGGAGAGTAGATGAAATATTTAAAATTTGGCTTCTTGTGGAAAAATCTACGAGCTTTTGGTCAGTATATACATTATCTCTTAATACCCACAGGCTAACTTTAAGAGTTCTCACCAAACCAAAGCAAGGTTCTTGATTCGAGTTAAATTTAAGTATGAGGAGATAGCTGTTACCATCTCAGGCAACTTTGGAACTCGGGAATGAATCATCTCTGTCTGATTTTCTTCAGCTTCCACCCCCTTTCCCTGCTAATGGGATGCGTTTTCATCCCTTGTGTAGTTGTTTTCTAAGGGCAGAGGATAGAGGTGAGGCACACTGGTGAACTTCCTCCCAAGACCCAGGGCTGGATAGATGTTCCATGAACAGTGAAGACACAGGGAACCTCGGACACCACTCTCAGAGGGTAACACAGAAAACAAATGCGAAAAGGAAGAAAAAGGAGACCAGAATACCACTGCCGCTTTTTGAAACCGCAGGTCATACTCCATTCAAGACGAGTCTCTCTTTAGACAGAAGCCTCCCAGTTTCTGCTGACTCTATCAAGCTCCTTAAGAGGCTGGATGTGTCCCCATTCAAAAACAATTTCTATTTAAGGAAAAACTGCTATTGGCATGCAGATATAGTTAGCTAGCACATTTTTGAGAGCTCATGCCAAATTGGCTTTTGTTTTCATATAGGCACAAAGAATCACGTGGGCATCATTTTCCTTTTGAAATGAGCTCCCCATCTGAACCACCCACTTTCTGTTGTAGCCACCGTCAAGGGCATCACAGCTACGGCTCAAAAGCGGCAAGTGAAGGAAATGAAAATGAGGGCCTGGGCACAAGGAGCGCCTGTCTTTATTTCAGTCACACAGTCACAGACACAGCAGAGGAAGGCTTGAAAGACCAAACCAGGAGGCAGGAAACGAGCTTGTAGAAGCCCACGGGAAGTGTAGGCACCACAGGGAGAAGGCCAGCTTCGGTATTGCTAGGACCTAGGACGGCACCCCAGCTCCCTCTTAGAGAGAGGTCATGTCGTTGAGAGCATGGTCCAGTTCCTCGCTGATAGCTTTGTACTTGAGCTTCTGAGCATATAGCTCGTCTAGAGGGCGGAGGGTCCCCAGGGAGAGAGTTCAGAAGAAGAGGTACAGGGAACAGAACGAGAGGGTCGGAATGGAGTGCCACAGATGAACAATGAGAGGGAGAAAAAAAAAAGTGAGAAAACAAAGTATGAACCAGAAGAAAGTTGTGTCTTACGTAAAACAGAGGAGGAAGCAAAAGATCCACAGAGTGGTTTCTAAGTGGTTTGAGGTTCTGTGGGGAATCAGCCATAAGAAACCTTTAAAAGAAGGGGGACTAGAAATGGACACAGCTTCTGCCCCCAACCCCCTGCCCCAGGTGATTTCTGACTTGCAGTGATGTCACCCAGTCCAAAGGTTATACTTTGGAATGGGGTATTTTTCCTTATACGGAAACCTTGCCTCCTAAACCAAACACTGGGACACATGGTCTGAGGAATAAGGCTGGCACCCTTTCTGAGTGAGACAGACAGTTTTAGGAGATTTTTTGTTTGAATCCAAAGATACTAGAATTTCCTGCTTATTTTATGAAGAACACGGGACAGAATTCCTTTTTTTTTTTTTCTTTTTACAGTTGGAACTCTTCAAGAGATTCTGGGCTATGTGGGCACCAGACTTGCAGACAGGAGTCTTTATTCAGTCTCTACATTCTCTGTATTCAGTTTTCTCCTACTGTGATAAGCTCTGAGCTCTCTGGGAGAGAGCTTCTGTAAAAATGGAAGGCATTTTAAAAATGCAAGGCATCTCTCAGGAATGAGCACATTGAAGGAAATTCTAAAGGCTTTTTCAAACAAAATCAGCCATATTTGGGTCTCTGTATTCATATGTGGAGCCAATTAAGCCGAGAGCTTTTACTTCCTGAAAAACGGCCACCCCGGTCTGCATCGGACTTGCACTGTCCTGTTCCAGTGCCCCAGACCTTCAGATGTGCCCTCACTCTGTACTTCACTTTCCTAGGGTGAACAAAGCCCAGCTCAGCCCTCCACAGACTCCTCCCCCTGACAGCGAACTGTCACAAAGCATGAGGCAGAGCAAGCGTAAGCAGATGGCAGTTTCATACCTTCCAGGTCATCAATTGTCTTTTCCAGTTTTGCAACCGTTCTTTCTGCAAATTCAGCCCGGGTCTCAGCCTAGAAGGAAAGAGAGGCCTCACTATGAGGGCTTCGAGACCAGCCTTGAGAGAACCCGGAACTGGCAAGGCACAATCGCGCTCACCTCTTTCAGTTTGTCGGACAAAAGTTTGATTTCTTCTTCATATTTATCCTCCTTTTCAGAATACTGTGGGAGAAACCAAAACAGTACTTTAAAAAAAAAAAAAAAAGAAAAAAAAAAGAGGACAAAAAAACCAAAACAAAACACACAGAAGAATGTAGGTTCTCTGTTCCTTAGAGAAAAGCAGTGCTTGAAGCACTACAAACGTGGCCAAGAAGCAAAGTGGAGGCGGCACCTTTCCAGGTAGAAGCAATGGGCCCAACACTCCAGAGGGTCTGCACTGGAGACCTCTGGGGTGGCACTGAGCTGAAGGTCTGGGCGGCATAACTTGAAAGAGATGACACTGTGATGAGGACGGAGCAGAGAGCTGAATGGAAACATGTGCCAAGTGGAGCCCTCCGCAGCCTGCCTGATGTTTCCAACCCCGCTCCCCACCACCTTTCCCAAACACGTTCTGTGCACTCTCTAGTCTCCCAGCCTTAACCCCCCCACCCCCAAGCACGGGATGTTCCATCCCCCACTGACTATCTGTCAGAAATGATTTTTGTCTTGCAGGGTTCAACTCGGATTAGTATCAGCTGACTTTACGGCCGCTCGCTAGCTGGCTAGAAATCCTCAATCCCATTTTACAGATGAGGAGGAGAGTCACAGACAGGTTAAGTCGTTGGTCGGGAGTCCCATGGCTGTGAAGTGACCACACCGTGACCGACTGGAACTGGACTCTGGAATTTGAGCTCCAGGCCTTCTTCCTGCTTTACAGCCCTTGTAAATGTCACCTCCTCGTGACACATTCCCCAGCTTTCCAAGGTCCCTCTGTTGAAGTCTCCAAGCACGTTATTACTGGGTCAGCGTCTTCTACTCAACTACTGAGTAGTTGCAGAGCCTTGCAGAGCAGAAGCCATATTATCACTGTAAGGTCTACCCCCACGGCCTAGGACCGCACTTGGCATGCCCACGTGAGCTAATGTGGCATGCACGTGAGAGCCACGTCTGCTCATCAAATATCCTCGTATCCCTGTGAATACTAATGACATAGCTCTAAACAAGACAGATATAGTCCCCGTCCCTAAACTTGCCATCTAGCAAGAAAGGCATGTCCTTAATTAATTAGGACAAATGTGATCAGCCATCATGATAGGAAAAGAAGTAGTGGGGCTACACCGTCAGGAAACCCCTAACCTGGGTGTTCAATGCACCTGGAGCGCAGCAGGAGGTGGGGAGAGGGAGGAAGCGAGGACGGCGAATTCACAGGGCAGGCCACAGAAGAGGGCGTACATTGCTCCTCACGTGCTTCTCTCCGGTAATGACTGCTTTGGGTACTATTTCAATCTAAAAAGCCTGAATCTGCGTCTCCTATCTGCTGCCCGGCCTTTTAGAGTGTATTTCTGGAGGATTGATGGGATTCATCTGAGAGTGAGGCTCTGTACACAGTTAGGTTTAGATCTCCCTAAGAGGAGGCTGACCAGGTATGAATCTCACATTCCCTTTCCACCCTCCCTGATGGCGGAGATAAAAGACGGTGCATGGGGCACCTGGGTGGCTCAGTGGGTTAAAGCCTCTGCCTTCAGCTCAGGTCATGATCCCAGGGTCCTTGAATTGGGTTCTCTGCTCAGCAGGGACCCTTCTTCCCTTCCTCTCTCTCTCTCTGCCTGCCTCTCTGCCTACTTGTGATCTCTGCCTGTCAAATAAATAAATAAAATCTTAAAAAAAAAAAAAAAAGAGTGCAAAGACCGCACAGAAGAAGGAACTATAGCCACTGGACGTCTCTTTTTATTGGGGGCGGGAAATCCTGCTACTGGGCACCAAAGCCACCGTTAGCAAACAGAGGTCAGCTCCCTGACGCCCCGGCTCGAACTCCCGTGCACCATGAGGGGAAGGAAAGAAAGCCCAGCAAATTGCCAGCGCCAAGCCGACCACCAACCTTTTCAGATGCGGCCTCGAGCGATTTCAGATTGTTGGTGACATTCTTGAGCTCTTCTTCTAGGTCACCACATTTCCTACACAGAGACAAAAGAAATTTATGTCCTGTCCCCCGCTTAGAGCAGGCAATTCTCCCCTGAAAGCTTTCAAGCAGAGGAATCCACGCTGCCTAGGGCCCCCGGAAGGAATGTGGGGAAAAATGTTAATGGCTTCTTGCTGAGCTGTATTGCTGTGCCCTTATCCAGACCCCACGGTGCCTGGCAAAGACGGCTGTAGGCCGAGGAGTGTTTGGAAGGTTTGTGTAAAGTGCTCCTGGGCTCTCGCCAAGGGTGAGGCAACAGGGACTTGTGAAAATCTGTGATTGAGGAGGCTACCTGCGGAAGGTGTAAGGATGAAATGGAACACAGGAGGCCGGGAGACAGCAATTGGTTTGCAGCCGACGCTCGAGGACGCAAGCTCTGAATGGATCTGCGAAACTGGATCCTCTCTCGGCATCTTGGGATGCTCCACGGAGCTGGATCCCTCATCCAAGGCCGAGGGGGAGAGGCTTTTTGTGCGTTCGGAGCTTGCGGGACTGTGGGCTGGCTTTTCACTTCCTGCCTGCCACGCCCACCCAGGAAGGCGTCCCAGGCGAACGATGACATCAAGATAAGGCAGAAACGCTGACAGGGAAGCCCGCTTTCTGCAGGGAAGTGTTCCCTTAAGAAGGCACAGCCTCCTGAGATACCCTCTCTGGAAGAATGGGATTTCCGGGCTTCTCTGCTAGGGCCTGTCTCCCTGCTATTTCCCAATACCTCTGTGGAAAGGGTGAGCACGTAGGCAGTGCTTCCCAGGGCAGTGAGAACAAAAGGACACTCTCTTGTCAGCCACGGCGGCGAAGGGGGAGGGCTCAGCTGGGAGTCCCAGGTGCCCATTCACTTGAGCAGAGGCCTTGAAGAGTCAGGGTCAATTCCCAACATGCCAGCTCCCTCCCGCTCGGCGCCCGGAGCCAAGCCGGATCCCCTCTCCGTCCTGCTCTGCCACTCACAGTTCAGACACCTCGGCACGCTCCTCCGCCCGCTCCAGCTCGCCCTCCAGGATGACCAATTTACGAGCCACCTGCAGATGGAAAGGATTGACTGAGACCCAACAACCACATGTAGGAGGATGCCGCCCCCCTGACCCTTAGAGACAGCAAGGCTGCACCCAGATCATCTGCGAGCACCTGGGCCCCAGGAATGAGGCAGGCGGGAGGGGAAACCAACCAGGGAGGCCAGCAGAAAAGCCACTGAGCTTTCATGGTCTGAAGACCCATGATTCCCAATTTTAGCCAAAACACTCAGCTGTGGGACAAAAAGTGATCCGATCAGTTGGTCTCCTCACTAAGTGAGACAAGTGTTGCAGAATTCCCCAGGCCTTGCTGGCATTGTGGAAGATACGGTTTCCTGACCAAGCAGCTGTGTCTGCAAGAACAGATGTGGACCCAGAAGGACAGCTGAACTAACCAAAAGCTTCCTTTAGGCGGCCCCGGGGCTCTCCCTATCACAGATCCATTTCCTCTCCACTTCCTGCGGCTGCCTTCTGCCAGCCCCACTCACCTCCTCGTATTTGCGGTCAGCCTCCTCAGCGATGTGCTTGGCCTCTTTGAGCTGCATCTCCTGTATCTCCATCTTCTCCTCGTCTTTCATGGCCCGGTTTTCTATCACCTTCATTCCCCTGCAAGGAACAACCTCGTCATTACCTCCGCACACGGGTTACCACTCATTGCACACCTCCACACGTCAGCTCATCCAAACTCCTCTCCAAGAACCATGCTCCAAAGAGGAAGCCATAGAGCGGCTCTCTTTCACTTCCCCTTCACCTTCAACTTCATAGCTGCCCTATGAGGCACACCGTCCCCACTTGACAGAGGAAGAAACGGAAGCACAGAGAGGCCAAGTAACTTGCTCAGGGTTGCGAAGCTCATACGTGGCAGAGCTGGGATTCAGACCCTGGTGATGTGGCTCCAGGGTCCGTGCTCCCATCCTATATGGCCTCTCGCTAACTAGTATTGAGAAGTACTTGTACCATGACAGTTACCGCGTGGGCCAGCCTGGCTGTGGGAATGATGGATTCTACTGTGCTGGGGGAGAAGGTGTGTACGTGTCACGGCAGGCTTTCCAGAGGGAACACAGGGAACCACAGGAGGGTTTCAGAAGCAGGAGGGAATGGAAACCAGAAAGATGAAGGGACTGCCGTGGGAAGACCAGGTAAGAGGCAGGTACCCACAAGGTGAGGGGTAAGGAGGAGCTGAACCGAAGTGGACAGGTCAAGTCTGGAGAGGACAGTGTCTGGGGATGGCTGGATATCTACAGGGCAGCTGGCTTTGGCCTGCACTGCTTGGAATGCACGAGTAAGACCAGATACCTCCCAAGAGGCCAACCCAGGATAACGTACTGATGTGTGTCATGCTTGCCCAGACTGGAGGACCATACACGTCTTGTTGCTTAATAAATACGTCACTAGCATCCCTCGCTTGCTGTCAAGACACCTTCACACCTATGCAAAGCCTTAACCTCAGCACAGGAGCAAGCTTGGGAAACCTCTGCAACTGGAAAGGCCCAGGTGACTTGCCCAACCCGAAGGGAGGGGCCGTGGAAGGACTCGAATCCAGACCTCCAGTTCCCAAGCAGAGAATTCTACCAAAGCTAGCTGTCTCCCAACAAGGGCATCACCAAAGGGCTCTGGTGGTACGACACAGAGATGTGAGGGGCCTTCCCAGGCTTTCTCGGTTTGGTGAGGTCCTAGAGGTGAGACGTCTGGCCAGCCTGGTCTGCCTGTGAATACGGGTAGCAACTAATCCAGGCCCCAGGCACAGCCAAGAGCAACTTGTGATGACCAGGAAGCATCTGCTGGGCTGATGCCCTCCCCGGTACAGGCTGTTCCACGATGCACGGGAAGAAATGTCCCGCATGGGCAACTGGCAAAGTCAGCCTCCAAGATTCCCGGGTTGGTTTTTCATCTCACCAGAGCATAATCGGAAATTAATCCTTCAGAGGAGCTTATACCAGGAACCGGTGGTGGACGGGCGAAATGAGAGTCCTGGTGTGATCGCCGGCTAGATACACAATGACCACTGGCCGGGCCCACACCGTCCCCACACAAGGAGCCCATTTTCCACCACCACACAGAGACGGCTGCCTCTGTGAATGACACAATCTGCCCTCAGTCCTCCAGAGCCTGTGCCAAGGCATGAATTATCCTGCGCCCAAGGACGGAGCATTCCACCAGAGGCCCGAAGGCAGAGTGCATGCCCCCGAGGTGAGGAGTGCTGTCAGTTCCCAGTCTACTAATGGTGCTGCTCTGCGAGTGTCCCTGACATACAGTTGTCACTATCCAGCTGCCTTAACAATCAATCATCCGTGCAGATGCCCCATTCCAAGTTTCCATCTCCCAACCTCCTCTCCCTTCACCCGGGAACTTGATACTCTGAGAACACCAGCGAGACGCACAGCAGCTCTCAGAGAATCTGCAAAGCAGCCGTCTGCAAATGGGTGGCCAGGGACAATTGTCCTTGCAGGCTTACATTGACCCATTTGTCAATTTTCTCTGCCTGTTGGGAGTTCTCCTACAGTCCATCCCAGCTCTGGGAGCCACCTGGCGCCACGCCCATTGCTGAGAAGCAGATGCCTCCAAGCCTGAAGCATCCTTACCTCTCGCTCTCATCCGCGGCCTTTTCGGCCTCCTCCAGCTTCTGCAGGGCCGTGGCCAGTCGCTCCTGGGCCCTGTCCAGCTCCTCCTCAACAAGCTGGATGCGTCGATTGAGAGCTGCCACATCCCCTTCGGCCTGGGGAGGTCAGAGGCGCAGCCAGGTTAAGAAGTGAAAGGCCACCCCAGCATCCCCAAGTCACATGGCATCCTTCCCTCTATTAACACGCTTCCCCCATCTCCCTCTGCCCAAGAAAGTCCACCCAAGAATGCAGGCAGAAAGGAATTCATGCTGTCATCTGGAGAATATGAATTTTCCATATGATCTTCCTCCGAAAATGTCCGGGAACTTCCACCACTCAATGACAAAGGTGTGTATCCCAGTGGAGGACAGGCAGTCAAGTCAACATGGAAGAGTGCCTGGGAGAAGACAGTGCTGGCCTCTCTGGGATTCCTAGAGAACTGGGCCACCAAGTGCCCTGACTTACCCTGGCATATAAAAAGCTCTGCTCCCAGTCACCTTAACAGTAAGATAAATTTAAGAGTATGGAACCCTCAGTTAAATGTTGGCCACACAACATGGGGAAGCGGGACAGCACCCTCAGAACACCACCCTGAACTAAGCCTGGCCCAGAGAGGATGGGACAAAAAGATTTAAGTAAGGAGAGACTTATGGGCATGGAAGGGATGTCTGAATGGTGATACTGGCTTTTCAAGGTATTTGCACCTACGAGGAAGGTAATAAGGCGGCAGACATAAAAGCAGGATCTCCGGGCTCAAAAAACGCTCGGTCAGAAACCCCGTTTTGCCGATTTGTAGCCGGGTGGCATTGGGCAGGCTGCTTCACTGCTCTGAGTGCCCCCATCCCAGCCCCAGCACGGAGGAGACGGTAACTGAGGGTGTGGCATTGCACCTGCCAGGTGGGAAGTCCCATGATTTCACCTCATTTAATCCTCCGGTATTTTACAACGGGAATCGGAGAGGTCCAGCTAGGGGCAGTCGTTCCATTCAGTGTCACAGAACTGGTGAGAAAACAGCTTCAGGAACCCCAGCCCACGGCTCTTCCCTGGCTGAGTCTATCCTGCAGAGTCCTGTGGGGGCTCTGAGGTCAGCCACCCTCAGCAAGAAATACTGAGGAGTTGGTGAAATTTGACTCAACAGAGGGAAGATGTGTAAAGCTACACTGGCTTCTTCCTATCGAGACAATCTCTGAGTTGGGGGAGGCCATAAAAATTAGTAGGAAACCGCTCCCGCCCCCCACCCCCTGAATTTATACAGGGGGGAAAAAAAAAAAGAGTAAAAGAATGAGACTAGAGATGCTGAAAAACTCAGTGACTCAGGAAACTGTGCTCAGCTCCAGGGTCTTAAGCAGCAGATGGAGGGAAAACTCCCACAGGTGTTTCTGATCGCCACTTCCTCTGAAACACCAATCTGGAGACTACATTAAAACCACCGGTGAACTATTTTAAGAAATTCACCCACTCCTCCTAACGAGTGGGTGCCTTTTATTCTTTTTAATAACACGAATTTAAACTCCTTCAGCAACAGGGGCAAGAATTGATTTCCCCCCTCCCCCAATAGTTAGTACATTAGCAAAACTGCCTAACCAACACTACTACCTAATTCTGGAACATTTCCATTACCCCACCGCCCCCCAAGAAATCCCATCCCCATTAGCAGTCAAGGTATTGATTTTTAAGATCATACAAAGGTACTTTATTCATGAGTTGTCTTTAAAAAATGAAAGTGAGCCTTTCCTTCTGTGGGGAATTCTGAATCCTGATAACCACGCTCTGGCACATTTTCAACTGTCTGGAATTGAAAGAACGCTGATACACATGACTATATCCGTGCATACATATATATGTATTTTTGAAAAACTGCTAGTCACTGCTAGTCATTTTGGGCTCCACCCCTTCCTGCAATCAAAGCTTCTACACTCTACAAAGGATTTCCCTTATAAGGTAAAAGAGGCTTGCTAGATACATGTGGCAAAGGAACAGGAAGATGTCGGTTAATCACACAAAAATCTAAACGAAACCAGCTGTTGGGAGGCAGACCCAGAAGTCTGCCACACGCCGGCTCTTGGCTTTCTCCACAAGAGACTGAGAAAGGGTTTTTTTTCTCTCCCTCTCTGGGCTCAGTTCCTTTGCCTGAGTACTTTCTTCAGACTTCCCCATTCTGACCAAGAGGAGCATGCTTTGAAAAGCAAACTTTTTAAGAAGTCCACAACCTTCCAAAAACATCCTTCCTTCCCACTGGACTGTCCTACTCCTAAATCTTGGCTTGAGACTGAGGGTCATTTTTAAGCAGAAGTAATTGTCCTCCAGTGAGATGACTTGGGATGAGATCAGAGGGAGGGTTCTGCCGGTTTCTTGTGTGAAAGAGGCCAAACCAGCTACTGTTTGAGGCTTGCACAGGTTTCTGAGGCCTCCTCAACGCCAGAGCAGCCCTGACAGACCAAATGCTTCCACTCAGGCCAAGACTGGGGCGGTGTTGGGGCTCTTCTCCAGACTTGTCAACACCCAGGGCATCTTTTCCACTTCTGGGATCCCCACCCTCAGCCTCAATACTCCAGCTTTCCGGGGCCCTGGGGCTTCACGGTCTCCAACTTTCTTGCACACCCAGGGCCCTTCTCCCAGCAAATCCTTATTCTATATATATATTTATAATAATAAATGCTGGACTTCATTTTGAAGCCTACCCCAAGAGGGAAGGGGGGGCTAATCCCCTCTCCTGCTCCCACAACAGAACACTGAACCCCTCTGCAATGCTATCCAGCCTTATTTGTACCCCTCACACCCGTTAGACTGTGAGCTCTTCTGAGGTGACTGGGAGGGGAGGAAAAACAACCATGAATTGAGCACCTACTATGTGCCATTACTCCCCAGACCCTCCCAGCTATCATAGGGTGTTGGCACTATTGCCACGGCTGCTTTACAAATGGGGAGACACGGCACTAGGGGTTAAGTACCAAGGGGTAGGAGACGGCGTTAGAATGCGGATCTCTCCCCAGCCCCAGGAGTTGCCACCATGTGTCCTGCCCCAAGGGGCAGTCCGAGGACGGAGGGAGGGCGAAGAGAGCCCTCCTCCATCGGCCCCATTATCTGTCTCAGGCCGCGCAGCATGGAGCTGAGGCACATCAAACCATGTTGGGTCGAGGACCCCGAGCTAACATTCCTAAGTTCTTGTGGAGAAAGGCGGGGTCCCGCGGCCGCAGCTCGGCGGTTGTTCCCGCGGGGACCAGCTGGGGAGGGAAAGGCCGGCTGCTCCGGGCTGAACTTCCGCCCCCCGCCAGGAGCAGACACGTCGCCGCCGCGCCCCTGGGAACAGCTGGGAAAGTTCAGCTGGAGCCGGGAAGCCGCGTGAGAGGGGAGAAAGTGCGACGGCCCCCCTCCCCGAGTCCGCGTCGGCTAGTCCAACCCCAGACAATGGAAGCTCAATGTTTCCACTCTCACTTCCCGCTCCAAGGTCCCGGCGCCCCCCCCCCCCCCCCCCCCCGCCCAGGACCCCGGCGCCAGCCCGAAGTCAGATGGCAGTGCGGCGCCCCCACAACCCCCTCCCCACTCCAGGATCCTGCGTCCTCCTCGGCCCCATCCCCCCATTACCCGCTCGGCCGGCCACGCCCGATCCGGATGCGGCGCCCCCTCCCCCGTCCCAGGCTGGGGAAAGAGGATGACCTCGGAGAAAGGGGGTCTCAGCCCGCCCGCGGGAGGGGGCTGCGGATCCGCGATCGGGGAGCCGCCAGGCCAAAGCGCACGAAGGCGGGCTAATGGGGGGCCCGGGGAAACCCGGTAGCGGCCGCCCAGGGCGGGCGGGGAGCGCGGGAAGCGGGCGGCGCGGGGAGAAGGAGAGAAAGGAGCGCGCGCTGGGCCCGGGGATGCCGGGGCGCGGGACCCGGGCGCGGGCTCTCACTTTCTCGCGCCGCTCGCGCTCGCCGTCCAGCTCCCGCTGCAGGCCCTGCGCGCGGTCCTCCGCCTCGTCCGCCTGCTGCTGCAAGGCCTGGATCTTGCGTTTCACCGCCTCCAGGGAGTTGAGGCCGGCCATGGCGCGGGGGCGCGGAGGCGCACGCAGCGGGCGGCGGGCAACGGCGGGCGCTCGGCTCGGCTCGGCTCCGGCGAAAGCTGCACCAGCCGCGCCCCGGCCCCCGAGCCTTTGCCTGCGCCGGGGCCGCCCCCGCCTCTCCCCGCCCCCGGCCGGGCCGCCGTCGGGGCGATGAGGTCACCCGGCCCGGCCGCCGACGTCAGCACCGCTGGGGGAGGGCCTGACGTCGGCACCGCTGGCCACAGCTGCTGGAAAGTGCCCCTTTTCGGGACTTATTTGGAGAAAACGCCGAGAGGCACCGCCTTCTCCTCTTCCTCCTCCTCTTCCTCTGGCGCTGCACGCCCGCCCGGCCCCGGGGCTCCCGCCTGGCCCAGCCGCGGGCGCCCCCATTACTGCGCACGTACGTCGGAGGCTTTCTTTTCCGTGAGCTCCAGCTTCTCCTGGGCGTCTTTCAGGTCCTCGGAGTATTTGTCCAGCTCATCCTCCGTCCCCTTCAGCTTCTTCTGGAGGTGCGTCAGCTCCTCTTCCACCTGGGGACAGATGGGGGGACGTGTCAGCCTGGGGCCCACGTACCCGTGGCGCTGGGGCGTCTCCCACATTCACAAGAGTCCTCTCTGTCTCTCTGGGCCTCAGTTGCCTCATCTGCAAAACAGGGATAACCATACTGTGCACCCCTCAAATGCCACCTGTTAATATGATTTTCACCTTCCCATCTCTTGGGATCAGCTGTGTATGGTTATCTTTGGTGGGGGGGGGGGGTGTGTCCCGGATACTCTTTCAGAATGGATTACGGCTTTTGGGAAACAAGTCCCGACAGGCTTCCCAGAAACACATTTCAGTTTTGCATCCCAGTTTCAGGGGTGCGGGCTCCTGGGGATCCTGAGCTAAGCAGAAATAGGAGTCTTATACCCTGGGCCCAGACCTTCCCCCAAACCCCAGCCTGTCCCTCTCTAGTCCTGCCTCCTACACTGGCAGCCAGAGAAACTTTCTAAATGTATGCTTGCCCTGCTCCTGCCTTGAACTGCCATGGCTCCCCATTGCCCAAGAGAGCGGTTCTCTGACTTTCCCACAAAATACTCTGAAAGTTTGGGGTACCCGGTGGTGGGGGTGTGTGGGGTGGGGGGCTCAGTAGGTTAAGCCTCTGATTCTTCATTTTGGCTCAGGTCATGATCTCAGGGTCATGAACTCAGGGTAGTGAGATGGATCCCCGAGCCCGGCTGTCGCTGTGTGGAGCCTACTTAAGATTCTCTCTCTCTCTCTCTCTCTCTCTCCCTGTACCTCTGCCCCTTGCCCCCACCCCTGTCCCATGCTCGGTCTCAAACAAAATAAAACAAAAACTCTGAAAGGTTGAAGGGCTCAGGCCTGTCCCTCTCCTGTACTTGGGGGGCCTGCTAGAAGAGAGCTAACCCTCAAAGACCACTTTCTTTGAAGGCTAAGGTTAAATCTTTAAAATTACTGCACCTCTGGCTTACGTTCATTTTAATAAAAATGTCCCCCACATTCTCTAAGTTTTCAGTTCTTTATGTTTATTCTGGGAGCCTTGCCCCTCTCTTGGCCCTCCTAGCTTGAAGAGCTCAGATCTACAGGATACAAACCACAGACCCCCTCACCTCTCCATCGCCCTCCACTGCACTGGTCAAGAGTCAGTTCAGGAAGCCTTCTCTGTCACCTCCAGGCTCCCTCCCCTGCCCTGAATTCTGGTCCAAGCTGGGTCAGTCCAGCTCATGTTTTTATCTGACTTGTGTCTCTGGTAGTTTGATCCCCTGGTTCAGTCCATGCTCCCAGCGTGAGCTAGCAGCCCTCCCTGGGGCCCTGCTTCATCCTCCTGTTTCCCCTTCCCAGCAGGAAGCCCGGAGAGGTCGACTGACTTTCTCCAAGATCCCCCAGCACAGGATTTGAACCCACTTCTGGACACGCCCTTGTGCCAGTCTTGCTTTCCTTCATCCCCTTCTGACTTCCCTCTTTTCTATAACTTCCCGAAGAAGGTATGTTATAGAAGCTGATGTGGCTTCTAGGTCAAGCTCTGAATCTGATCTGGGTTACACACTCACCCCTCAGATGAAGTGCAAAATGTGCCAGATGCTCTGTGTGTGTGTGTTTGCCCCTGTGCAAAATCTTTGTGGGTTTTTTTTTTTTTAAGATTTATTTATTTATTTGAGAGAGAGAGAAAGAAAGAGAGAGAGCGCATAAGTGAGAGGGGCACAGGGAGAAGGAGAGAGAATTCTAAGCAGATTCCACCTTGAGTGCAGAGCCCAACATGGGGCTCGATCACAGAACCCTGAGAACACAACCTGAGCCAAAACCAAGAGTCTGACACTTAACCAAGTGCACCACCCAGGTGTCCCCCCGTGCAAATTCTTAAAAGGCCTCCTGTCCTGTCTTCAAGGCCACTGAGTCCTACTGCTGAGCTAGGGAATGGGGAGGGGAGTGGGGGCTCAGAGGAGGAGGAGGGTGACAACAGCTCAAGCCTATGTCAGCCTCCCCAGGGCCTGATCTTGACCTTACTAGGCAATAAGTCTACATGCCTGGCTCCAAATCCCAGCTGTATGACCCCTTTTCTGGCCTCAGTCTTCTCATCTGCAAAATGGAAACCTTGTTGTGGTGATTTCTGAGTGCCCCAGCAGCTGCTGTGAAACTTCTGCCTTAACCAAGAAAATGAGCCAGTTTTCTTAAAGGCAGGTCAGTGTGACCCAGTGTTCACCTGACATCCTTCTGGAAGGATCTCTGGGGTACAGCATTTACTAGGTGCCAACTATGTGCCCAGCACAGTGCTGTCTTAACATGACAGAGTGAGAGCAAGTTCTGCGGCTTTGGGCTCATCCAGGTGTAAAGATGGGTGGGTTTTTCATGACATTTTCCGGCAAGGTTTGGACAACAAGGGGTGGGGACTGGGATCACGTGGTTCGGGGGCCATGAAACATTTGGAAAGTGCTAGGCACATGACACGTGCCGTCTCATTGAAGCTGCATGTCACAGAATGGTAAACTGAGTCCTAGCATGAGAAAGGGACTTGCCCCTGGCCACACAGACAGGGGATTTGAATCCTCATCAGACTGATTCCAAAGCTGGTTCGCTTGACTTCTAGGTTACACATGCCCGCTGCTCATTGACTTCCCACTGACCTTCCACACCCAGCAACAATGCCCACTCCCCCCGGGCAGAGCCTCACCATGGCCTCCGCCACCCACCCACCCCCCGCCTCAGTCCCTGTCCCTCCCTTTGGCCCAGCCCTGTCTGCTGAGGCAGGGAGCATCCCTCCATGTTTGGCTCTGTCTCTCCCAGCCTGGACTCCTCCAGAGTTGGGCCAGGCTGAGGTCACCCTGAGCCAAGCCCCAGCATCACCCAGTATGGGGCTAGGTTCAGTCCTCACTGAAGAAGTCCAAGGGAAGTTTGCACAATGAATCAGTGACACACCCCACACCCTTCAGTGGTTGAAGCCAGGTATGAAAAATCAATAAGACTGACACACATTGGGTTCCTTGCCCTGGCTCTGGACCTGGCTCTGGTCTCTGACAAGTCACTTCCTTCTCTGCGCCTCAGTTTTCCTGCCTGTAAAATGGCTGGGAAAGTCATGGACTGCACACCTTAGTCCCTGTAAATGGGGCCTGAGGACAGGGCTGAGGCAGGATGTGGGGGTCAAAGGCCAGTTGTGGCGGATGTCACTGCCCTGGGAGGGGAGCGGGCAGGAAGTGGGAGGGCAGGGCCTCCTGGTCCTGTTTTCACACTGGACAAACAGGGCCTAGAATGGAGACTTTTGCTGTGGGGGTCCCCAAGGGGCAGGCTGGCTCCAGGACCCACACTCTGGCCTCCTGAAGTGTGAGGCACTCCAGCTAAGTCAAGTCCCTCATGGCATCCTGCTTCCGTTCCTAGGCGGGACAGGCCATTGGCCCCTTTGGAATGTGGCCTCTGCTTTGGGCCTCTGGAATCTTGGGTTCCATGCCTGGCCGTCAGAAGGTAGCCCATGCCCCCATGTCACAGATAATGAGACTGAGGGTTCAGAGAGAAGCAGCAATGTGTCCTGAGTTAAAGTTAGAAGATCCAGCCTGGATTCAAGCACAAGTCCACCCCAGGGGGTAGCTTCATGGAAAAACAAGAACAGAATGAAAACCCAGCTGGAGGCCAGAAAACCTGTCTCTGCCTTTTTGGCCGCACTGGGGGGGCGGGCTGAAGGCTTTGAGAAGCCTTCCCTTTTGAATGTGTGTCTGCCTTGGGAGACTGTATCAGTCACTCACACCTTAGTGAAAATTAGAGCCATAAACTTGCTTTTCTCTGAATCCCTAGCCGAGTCTCTCTTGGCAAGGGTTGAATAATGGATGGAAGTGGGCAGCTCGGGGCCAGGACAAGATGGGTGTCTGTGTCTGCCAGGGAGGAAGGAGGAAGGGAGTGTGGCAGGGAGTGCTGGGGTGGGGCTGGCCTCTGAGAATGTGTCACAGGCTCCCAGGGAAGCCCCGGGATGCTGGGGGATGGGGAGGCCCACTGGGGAAGTAGGGCGGAGGGCGGGGAGGAAATAATCCTGCTTTTATTGAGTGCTTACTCTGCGCCAGGGACAAGGGCTCCACCTACAGTCACCTCTAATCCTTCCATGGCCATGAGGGAAGTCCTGCAGTCACTTTCCTATCTCAAACATGGGGCCACTGAGGCCCAGACCCGTAAAGACCTTTGCTCCATGGGGCTCAGTGCCCCAGCTGTGAACACAGCCAGTCTGAGCTCAGAGCCTGATCTTTTTACCATCCAAGCTGGCCTGGCATATGGGCTGGGCTGGGCTAGGCACAGAGTGTCCCTGTCCTGGGCGGCTCCCACGGTTTATCCTAGACCCTGATGTTCCTGAGGGCTGGGTGGTTAACCCCGGGGGTGCCAATGAGTCTTGTGGGGGGCAGGGTGCTACAGAGAGAGCAGAACCCCCTTCCTTCCTCCCACTGGCTCATCTAGCCACCCAGACAGCAGACTTCTGCTCTGCTCCAGACCATGGCCTTGGGACTGCCCAGCCCAGGCCTCTGCCCACCAGTTGCATTAGCCTCCGGTGTACCCAGTTGCCGGAACCTTCTTCAAACTTGTCTCCAGAGCTCTAGGTCCAAGGCCTCCGCCTGCCACTAGCACCCCACCTCTCCCCTCTGGGCTCCTGGCAGGGATGGCAGGGGCACCGGAGATATGCAGGGATGCATTGAGATCC